AAAGTTACCTGACTCAGTGGTCCTCAATCCTGGCTACCTTTAAACTTACTTAGGGAGCTTTTATGAAATACAATGTCCAGGCCCTCCCTAAACGGAGTAAAGCAGAATACCAGGGAGTGGGTGGTTGGTGTTTTTAGAAAGTTCCCCAAGGCAGTGCCTACCCACATCCAGGCTTAAGAGTCACTCAAGTCTCCTCGCCTTGCAAGTTTTCAAGGCCATGGTTTGCTTCTCCAGGTGAGCCTCCCTGTGAAATCCACCCACCAGGTAAAGACAGGCTGTTAGTAAATCCACGATGTCCATGGGCATGACAGCCCTGTAAAATTGGCCCCCCTTGAATGTAATCAAGAGAATCAATAAGCAGAATCTTCCTTCCCATTAGCAGGAATCTCTGTCACCACGGGGAGTGGACTGAATCTTGGTTTAGACCACCTGCCTGCACACAGCTAATGTGGTTCTCTAGCAGTAAAATCATTAACTTTTCCAGGTATCTTTGTCCACAAGCGTGTCATATTTTAGGAAATCCAAGGAAGCTGGAAAATGCTTGAATTTTCTGACATTCCTCTACTTCCTCAGAATTGCATTAAAAAAAAAACTAATTCAGAGTAGAATTTGCATGGAGGCCTGATTTTGATAGCATGTTGTCAAAGAAGGGAAGAAACCTGAGAATTCCCACTGTGAAGACAGAGGGGACAGAAGATGGAAGTAATCACATCCTGCTTAGCCACAATTACTGTTGCTCAACCAGCTAAGATCAACAGAGTTCAACAGCATGATGTTGGGGTGGGGAATTTCTGTTCTACTTGCTGTTGAGGGGTAATGGGAAGAGCGGGTCATCCCATCATGCCAGGAAATGTGCAAATATGCCCTAATGGTTCCGAGCCATACACAACAGGGTCTCCCGGACCTCATTCACCTGATGTGGAGAAATGCTTTGTGAACCGACAGACGACTGAAGCTGTTTCCAATAAAAATTTCCTGTTTCCTCCTTAACACATTTGTCTGTTGTTTGCTTAGAGAAAACCCAGGCATAAAAGTTTCATTGTATTTCCATTGTAGTTTTAGTTTCTAATGGCATTTTCACTCAGTGGGGAGTGTTTTTTAACAAGCCATCCTCATAGTTTTCACACTACCTACCACCCACCTATACTGAAGGGAAAATCATGCCCTGAGAGCCAGTTAGAGGCCCCCCAAAGCGAGCATCGGACAGGTGTTAAGGTGACTGAAGTAATGTAATATATACATGGTTTTCTTTAATATTTTAAGTTTTGTTCATTGTAACATACAGTATTTTTAAAGGGAAGACTTGTCTTGCAGGAAGAAACTCGCATTTCTATTCACTTCTAATTTCCTCTCCCACTATGGCATTTGAATGTAGAAATGTTATTTTTTATATATGTAATTTTTTTTGAGATGGGGTCTTGCTATGTTGCACAGGCTGGCCTTGAACTCCTGGGCTCAAGTGATCTCCCCCCTCAGTCTCCCAAGTAGCTGGGACTACAGGCAGAAAGCTTGTTTTTAGAAGTGGTTACTTCTCTGCCTGTTTCCCCATGTGTTCATTTATCTTGGGGATGATACTAGTAATCCACATTTTAGAATCCATATGAAAAGTAAATGAACTAATATGCATTCAGTGCTTAGACAGGGCCTTACACGCATTAAGTGCTCAATAAAATAAGCCCTTGATAGAACTGTTGAGAGGCATCTGGGAAGACTGTTCATGGGGCAGGTGGCATTCGATCTGGCTCTAGAAGGATGAGTGAAATTTGAGCTTGAGCAGACGGGAGGGCACCTCAGACCAGGGACCTCAGGGTGGTGTGCATGGAGATGAGCACAGGTGTCGTTTGGGTAGGATGCAGGAATATAGGGAGCTGGAAAATTAGATTGGATGCCAAGTGGAGAGCCTTGAAAATCATGCAGAGGTGTCTAAACTTGATTTTCTTTTAGGCAGTGGAGCTCCAGCAAAGTTTGTGAGGGAGAAACAAGACCAAAACTATAACTCAGGAAGTTTGATGAGCCAGGGTTGCTGGATACAGTGTTTTCGTTAGGAGATAAGAGTGAAAGTAATGGCCTGAGTCAGGGAGTGAAACTAGAAGGGTGTTCCCTGCCTCTGCAGTCCCCAAGCCCCAGGCTGAGCACCAGTACCTGTCCGTGCCCTGTTAGGAACCAGGACACGGAACTCTGCCTGCCCCCTATCCATGGAAAAATTGTCTTCCATGAAACTTAGGAATCCAGTCCGCAGCAGGAGGTGAGCGGTGGGTGAGTAAGCAGAGCTTCTTCTGTTAGCTACAGCCACTCCCCATCGCTTACATCACTGTCTGAGCTCCGCCTCCCCTCACGCCTTTCGGTGGAAAATTGTCTTCATGAAACTGGTCCAAACAGTTGGGGAACGCTGTACCTACCTAATTTGCATGTAGAGTTAGGTTCGTTTCATATTAAATAAAACTAAAACACTGATTTTTTAAAAAAATCAATGCTTGCGTTAGATTGTTAGTACTTTCCCTTGACTTATTAATTGGAAAGGGTGAGAGTAAGGTCAAGTATTGCATTTTCTAAAAAATATGCGACAACTTTTAAAAGTTTTCTAATTCTGATTTCTTTCTACAGAAAGAGTGGGTTAAGTTCACCTTTGTTGTGTAGCCTAAGTTTTCATGAGTGGACATTTTTTCATGTAAAGTAGTTAGACACTTGTCTCCCATGGTTTCATATCTAAAAGAAAGACAAATTCTCGTCTAGTCTAGGATGAAGAAACAGAAGGGTAAAATTACTGGACCTCTGCAGTTCTTGAAAGTACTGCTGTTTAGCCATTGTATAAGCTGTTAATTAAAACATCTGCTGAAGAAACAAACCTTCGCCTGTTCACATCATTTCTTTCTAACAAAGTGACCGTACGGGCGATTATTTGACACAGCTTTTTAGATCAATTTTTGGTCATTTGGAGGCATCTCATTTTCTTAGTGGTAGAAAATAAGAGAGCCACAAGACAGCAATATGTATTTGCGTGTTCCTGGGACCTTAAATAAACTCTCACTTTGTAAAGTATTGTATAAATAAATGTAAAGATTGGTTAGAAAAATAATATCTTACATCTTTCCTGACTCTTCACATGAAACCATTTTTATAAGATCAGGAACGTGCTCCAAATAGGTGGCAAAATGAGCTAGTGAATTAATGTCTAATTAATGCTTTTATACCTGTGCTGTTCTGGTGTCATGTCTGATTAGTCAAAAAAGAGTGGACAAAAAAAAAATTAAAAAGAAAAAAAAAAGAGTGGACATTGAGAATTTTTAGTTATTCACCAATTGTTAAATAAAACATTAAGAAAAAAAAGCAAGCACATTTACTTTTAAACAATCTATTGTTCGACGTCTAACAATCTGTTCAATCAAAATAACCTCTAAATGACCAGAAGAAATGAGTTATTTAAAATATTTTTTAAAACAGACTTTTTTCTTTCCATATCTATTTTTTTGGGTGGAGGGAGAGGGCACAGAATAGGGAAAAGGTAATTTCCTCGTTCTTTAAAATAAAATATTGAGCTTCTATATGTTTTTCCAGCAATAAAATATAAAACTTTATAATTTTATTTAAAATTTCCTTAATTTCTTGCTAAGACAAGGTGTGGATATATATGAAAAAATGTTAAGCTCAGATAATTCACATTGGACAATTTATATTCTTTTATTCTGTATAAACATTGAAGTTCTTCCACATTTATGTCACTCAGTCCTACACCACCAATGCAGTCCTGAATCTCGGGTTTAATAATGCTGCTTTTATCACTACACTGAAAAGATCCATGAGAGTCAACTTTGCCATCCCATTCATTTCCACTTTACTGCCATGGTTTTTTAGTTTGGCTATTAACTAACTCATCAGAAGACGGCACGTTGTTTTTTCTCTTTGGTGTGCTCAATAAGAACATTCCCACTTGCTTTAAGGAATTTGTTTTCATACTTAACCTGTCTTAAAAGGCCACGGAACTCATGAAATAATAGGTGAAAAATGCTTTAAAACCATAAAGTTTCAAGAGACAAAAGTAGTATGTGTATAATTCTACTCCTGCCTATTGGTCTCCCATCTAGCTCAGAGGAGAGATGCTTAATGAAGACTTGAATCTGGGATAGATTAAGCAATGTCCTTTATAAATGAGTGAATAGCCTTACATAACTCAGTACTCTAATGGCCCGGGGATGGTGGGAGGAAGAGTTGAAAGGAATATTCTTTGTGCAAACAGAGAAACTAATTAATGTGCCTAGGACCTCCTCTGTGAGTCAGTTTTAACGGGATTGTAAATATGTGCTTGAGTGAGTTTTTAACACAGTGTGTCAGTTGCTCTTGGCCTTTCTGTTTATCAATACTATCTACAAGATGTTAAAACCACAGGGAAGTCGAAGCTTTATTAGCCATTTCAGCCTGCCAAGATTGTGGGATTTATTGACTGCATGCCCTCCACATTACTTGACAGCCTACACCTCTCCTACTGGATTAATACCCAGTTAATACCCATGCACCTAAAGGCACAATGTCACACTGGGGACTTTTAAACCGCCTGTCCCATGGGTGTCAGAAAGTCTGTTACTTGCTCAGTTAAATTGTATTTTAGGATGTCAGATATACTTGGTGGCCTTTTGTTGAAGTGAAAAGCAACCAAGCAAGAGGCCGGCCAGGCTTAAAATTATTTAATCCCTCTTCAACTTTCTCATTATGCCTTATTTTCATAACCATTTGTAACTAGACCATTTAAGAAGCAGCACCTAGTAACTTACTCCTGGGACCCTATTTTTATTTTTTGTAAAGGAAAAATACATAATTATACATGTGAAAAGATGCATAAAAATTTAAAGCATTTTGAATTAAGTGGGTTTGTTTTGTTTTGTTTTGCTTATCTATATTTTCTACAGAGGTCATGTTTTGCTTATATAATAAAATCAAAGTTTATTAAGGGAAAAAGAAGCATCCTGAGGACATGGCTAACAGTTCTTTCTTCTGTTCTGTTCTAGAAATTGAAGCCAAGGAAGCATGCGATTGGCTACGGGCAACTGGTTTCCCCCAGTACGCTCAACTTTATGAAGGTAAGCTGGGAATGACATTCTTTTTAATTGGCGTAGTCATAGCACTTGGTTCATGATTATTATTGATCTATGACTTATTTTCAGAAATTTTATTATTTAAATATTTCACTTAAAAATATAATGTAGGCTCACGCTTGTAATCCTAGCATTTTGGGAGGCTGAGGCAAGAGGATCGTTTGAGGTCAGGAGTTCGAGACCAGCCTGAGCAAGAGTGAGACCCCATCTCTGAAAAAAATAGAAAAATCAGCCTCATGCCCACTTGCAGTCCCAGCTACTTGGAAGGCTGAGGCAGGAGGATGGCTTGACCCCAGGAGTTTGAGGCTGCAGTAAGCTATGATGACACCGCTGTACCCTAGCCTGGGTGACAGAACAAGACCCTGTCTCAAAAAAAAAAAAAAAATAGTAAGCAGCTAAGACCTCCACCACTCAATGATAACCCATCCATGCACTTTCCCATTCTATCCCTCTGCCACGCCAAAGTAACCGTGGTCCTGAAACCTGTTTATACTTTTCTTGCATTCCTTTCATATAATTTGATTGCATTTCCTGAAAAGTATATTTTTATAAAATTATTTTTACCTTTTTACCAAGTGTATCATGCT